CATACAATAGGGTTATATTGTAATGTCTATTGTAATGTCTATATTTACATTTTTTTATTATTCAAAAATAAATAACAATGCTGGTATGTACAAATGCTGTGATTAGAAAAATGGCACTTGGCTTTCTGGCGTTTCTTTCCTCCAAAATCCCCTTTTACGAAAAGAGGGTGGAGAAAAGTAGTTGCCACCGTCGGATGAATACAGTTTTGTAAGCGACTTTACCCATCGCCTTTCCGCGGTGGCGGCAGTCTCATCGTCCTGAGAGAGTTTCATTGAACTTGAAAAATAGTTGTTTTTAAATGTTTAACTGTTAATAAACACGAGCGTTGGATGGTATTTTTATCTTAGTCTCCTCGGATGAAGTCGGAGCCCGGCCGGATGGAGCCGAGGCGGTTGGCGTGCAGTCCGTTGTCCAGGCGCTTCTGCTGGTTGTTGAGCACGAGCCGGGTGTGTGGGAAGGCCGGGAAGAAGTGCGGCTCGCGGTCTGTGAGCACGCGGACGAAGTGCGCGGCGGCCGGTCCGGTCACCAGCAGCGGGTCGTAGGGGGCGGCCTCCGGCATGGTCACTGCAGTTGCGAAATAACAGGTCAAATCGATATCGAAACGTCGTCTATTTCAGCGTTTCGGTAAGGTTTTGATGCATTTTCGATGTCGCTTCGTTATCGGTTTGGTATCGTTTCGATACGTACCCGAGTCTGTGGCGCCGAGGCCCTGGTGCGGGGCCTGGTCGTCGCGGATGGGCTGCGGGCGGACGGGCCTGGAGTAGCGCCAGACGCCTGGCAACAACAAAAGGGCGCGAGAAGGATGAGGAAGTGTCGAAGCATATCGCCCGAGGCAGACTCGACAAGTGACCTCTTGGACCACGTGTTTTGACTGGGGGGCCGTGACCATGAGCTCATAGCTGGATAGGGCGGACAATGATAATCGTCTGGACGCTTCGCCATGGGTGGCTCGCGATCCCCGGAAGTTTGACACCTCTGCGGAGATAATAGGGCGGGGGGGAACAAAATGAGATAAACAACAACGCCACACGTCGGCATCCGCCCGCGATTGGAAAGGTACCCCCACCAGTGCCGTGCTGTTGTGGCCCGCGGGCCGCCTCTGGGCCCCTGGGGGGTGAGACCGTGCGGGACCGTACGGGACCTACTGCGAGTGGTGGGTGCGTGGAGCGGCGCGGAGCTCACATCAGCTCCGGCGGGACCACGCGGGTCGCCGGGATGCCCGAGTCACAAATGAAGTGTAGCCGGAATCAGCCCGGGTTTCAGTGGGGCGGCGGCGTGACTGTGAACTTCGCCCACCCTAACAACTGAGAAGCATCCAGGAGGGTTATCGTGATGATTTTTTTACAGACGTTTCTAGAGAGAGTTCCCATGACAGTCTCTACCACAGAATAATAACGTGCATGCACTCGCACGGGATCACGAGGCGCCTTGGTGAGCGAGGCGGGGTAGGCAGGCAAAGACCACACGCTCACGCACGCCTGCAGCACGCGGTCGCGGTACAGTAAAAGCTGTAATAGCCATGGCGTTTTGTGCACTGCCCCAAGTTTCATGTTTCATGTACCTTGCTGTTCAGATATGTACTGCTGTTGCGGCTGCTGCTGCTGGGGCGCCAATCGGAAGTACGACTGCGGCACTGGCTGCTGCAGCTGCCTCTGGAACACCTGCATCGCCGGCCTGCGCTGCACCACCTGGCGCTGCTGCTGCTGCAGGGGCTGCTGGAAGGTCCAGATGGGGGCGGCGGCTGGCTGCAGGGGCGGCGGCGTCAGGCCCGGGTGGAAGGCGACGGGACCCAACGCGCGACTCGCCCGGTAGTGGTTAAAATCATCCGCTCGACCTGGGAAGACAGAATAGCACATTTGTTTTTACACGGTCAACTAAAATCATTTTTGATTGCGAGATGTGTGTTTTTTCACCTTAGTGTTTAAGAGAACTTTTTAATGATGCCATCATAAATGTACCCCCGTGGGAAACATTTGCAAAAACTCGGACAAAAAATAACAGAAATCATACCGGAAGGGAGTCCGTAGACAGACGAGGGCTGAACGACTGGGGTCGCGGAGCACGCCGCCAAGGCTGAGGCCACCAACAGAGCCAAGGAGAACGCCTGCAAGCCACAAAGTAAAACTGGCAACACTAAGACACGTCCAACAAATGAAAAATCTAGAACATTGGGCTGGGCTGAGATCTAATATCAACATATATAAATATTCTTGATAACACAGCGGGAATTCATGAGTAATTTCAAAGTTGCTCTTCTTCTACATAATGGCCATAGCGAGGAGCGGGAGGTCAAAAGAAAACGCCTCTCCCGACAATAAATAGTGCAAGTCAGTCAGTAACTGGACGGAGTCCCTGGGCGGAGGCACCGGAGGCACGGACCTCTTGGAGGACAAAAAGACAAAACGTGAATTGGGAGACAAGGGGAGAGGGGGGGGGGCTAGGTCGACAATCATCGTTCTTAGGTAATCTTGCATAAGATGGTTTACACAGGACACATTTTATGCAGGACACGTACCATCTGAACGACGCATTGTGAACATATCATGCCTGTTGAAGTTCGTCGCTACCCCTCAAAAAAACACCAGTCGAGAATAATGTTGTTTGTGGCTGATTTACATTGTCCAAGTAGGACTAGTTTCACAGTCGCAGAGACAGACAGTCAAAGTTGCGCCGGAATCAGAGGGCGCAGTTCACCTCTTCTCGCGCCTCCGGCATAGCGTCACCGGAAGCGGATTTACCATCCCGTCCACCACTTCCGAATGGTTGGGAAATGAGTCAAACCCCCATCATACTGTCACACAACAGCACAAGCCAGCACAGCAAGGGCTGCTACTGTTACTGTTACGCGTTTACCCAGCCAACAACAGACGCCACCGCCGCCTCGCCAAGTCACAGCCGGAAACAAAAACTAAAGGGATGAGGTGGGGGCCTTAGATCTGGGGCCCCGGGGCCCGCCTGCACTCCGAGTCTGTCTACTTCATTCCGTCTTGGCACGGCCGAAGGGAGCCGTTCGTTCACGAAACGCGTCACGTTCCTATTTCGGTGAGAGCGTGACCCCGCACCGGACTACAAAAGGCAGACGCCGCACGGGGCACTCGACTGCCCTGCAGGTGCAAGGGCCTTTGGACGGCCTTGCGCCGCGCTGGGCTGTCTCAAGTCAGCGGCAGAGGCGGGCGCGGCGGGCCCCGGACCCCGAGCGAGAGGATTAGCGGGGAGCACAGCCTCTCGCTCTCTTCTGTCTTTTACCCTCTTGAACATGCATGACTGGCCCTCCGTCTTACTTCCAACACCAGTCAATCAGCATCACCACACCATCGACCCTGGCCCTGGGCAGAGACGTGCGTTACTGCACACATGTGTGACAGCCAACTGTGTATATGTGTTGAAGACTTGTTACTGATAGGTCGCACTGGAAAAGCAAGTGTGTGCATGCCGCACACTTGCAGCCGTGTGAATGCCCATTTGTTCACTAAAGAGAGAAAAAGTGAATTTTCGTTTGAAATTCACACACTTGTGCCTCCATGTGTACGAATGTCGTTCACACACCTACAACTGGCGCACTTGGGTTTCCGGTGCGGGCGCACCCTTGGCGGGGAAGCCCCATGCACGCACTTCCTCGGCAGCCCCATTATCGGCCGCAACGCCGCGACATTCACATCGCGACCGTGAGCACGTCGTCCCTCCACCCGGGCATTGCGTTTGCGCTCATCCGGGTCCGGTGCATGGGCCGGACGATACCAGCCACACGACCAGCACTAAATCCTTATGCATTGAGTTGAGCATAAACGTGCAGAATTGTGTACAGCCATAATATTGTGCACAATGTTATGCATAACTGTGTACAGTTTGCACAGAATTATGCACAACTTGTACTGAATTATGCATAAAATTTGTGCACACTCATGGCTGTATAAAATTCTGCGTATTTATACACAATAAAATGCATAAGGGTTTTAGTGTGAACACCAACATGTTATTCTTTAACCCCCCCCCCCTTTCCC